TAAATGAAGTTATAAGGTTATAATTAATTGAATTTTACAAATATAAAGTCATAATTGAACGGATTTCATTCTATTGACGAGTTATAAAGTCTCTTTCTATAGATTAATGCTTAAAGTTAATTATAATAAACTAATAGCAGAAGGTACTGTATCCAAAGCTCTTGGGCAATTTATTTATTTATTTATATTATAAATTTTTCTCTAAAAAAATCCGTACCTTTATTGTTAAAAATTTACAGGAGATTTAAAGCCTTAAATGGCATAATAAGCGTCTTTCTTTGTTATAGCTTTAGATATTCGAATATTCTCCACAGACAGTTTGATAATAAAAAAAAAATAGAAGCTTATTTATTCAAAATAAGTTGTACTTCTAAATGAGTAATAAAATATTCAAGTGTTTGTGCTTTTAAGAACCTCTTAGATGTGAACTCAGACAATTGCTACCTTTTGGGAGAACTATAGAAAAATTCCAGACAGCGTTGTGTATAGTTGTAGGCCTATAGAATGGCAGTTTTTGACACGTCGTGCGAACGTCACACTGTCTAAGAAGGAACGTATCGTGTTTCGTTTCTTTTAAAGCACCTATTAATTGAGCAACTCATTAATCTTGTTATTTCTAATCGCTTCGTACGCTTCTCTAAGGCTATAAAATACAATTTTCGGAAGTCTAGTTACGCTCTACCGATGAAAAATATCTCCTCCTTCGGATATCCTCCTGTTTATCAAGTAAATGTATCTTATTATTTTTTCCCCTTTCCCTCTTCCTTCGGTTTAATTACTGTTAAAATAAGATTATCGGGGTATTTAATATAAGAATTAAGTCAGAAAAGTGGAGAACGAGTCGTTTGGAGGGAGAACGAATGCGAATTTTTGACAGGAGCTTCTATTAAAGAATGGAAAAATTGCTGGACGCGAATACAATTATCCGGTAAGTTGTATTTAATTAATAAAAATCTGGGTGATTTTCAGCGATAAGTTATACTCGGAGTCATTTTTACGTACCAGAAAGTGCTGTCACTGCTAATGACCCGAAAATTAGCGCTTAGCTTCTTTGCTAAGTAGAGTAAAGATTTCCGTCAATGGAAACAAATCGATAATTTACTTCTCCGAATGGTTATTTTAGGATTTATATGTATATATGTACAGTTTGGATGCGATCCAAATGATTTTGTTTGGGTTCTCTGACTGTAAGAGAAATCCTAATCTTTACTTTTTTCTTCATTCGTATATACTAAAAAAAAAATAATTCTTAACTAATTTAAGTTAGTAACGCTAAAATATCGGTAATAATCTATATATAATTAACGATTTTAATTAAATATTTATCTTTCAAGCCTTATTATTCGTCATTTTCTTAGGGAATTTAACACAAAACGAGACTTGGAAAGGTGAAAATTCTATTGGAAAGGTGTTGGATTTGTGATGATTTTTCTCATTTTTAAGTTTTCGAAAATTCTGTTTTATCGTTAATTTAATAAAAAATATATTTTATAGGTTGCAAGAATGATTGATTTTTTTATTAGATTAATTCGACTATTTTTTTAGCTTTAATAATGCATGTATACAGACAAATATTCCTCTTATCTTTCTTCAGTGGAGGATAATTTCGTGGTAAATTGCTTCTTCTTTTTAGGATTGTGTAGCTTTCTAAAATAGCATTACAGAGAAAGGAGAAGGGGGAAAAGGAAGAACAGGTTACACCGTGTCCAATTCTGTTGTCCACTTCCCAACTATTTCATCGATCGTTCTCCGTCTGATACGCTTTTTCCGATCGTCTCGACTACTTTTGCTTTGCCACATTGACCCAGCATTGTTTGATGTGTCTGAGGAAGTAATTAATGATTTAAAAATGTCGGAAATTTCTCCCGATTCCAGCTCCATACGGTGCTTCAGTTTAGCTGGTCATAAATAGCGCGACTACAGATCCGTATGAGGTCTCTAAGAGGGTATTATTCATCACCCCTCCCGACCAAACCACATCCTGCCTCCAACTAACAAAATACGTGATAGGAGATGGGTCACTCTGACGTGTCGGGAGGAATTGTCCCCTGAGGGGGAACCGTGGGGTCCAGGTGGTGGTATATAGGTCACAGTCCAGGTGAACCGAGACAGAAATGAAGCAGGTGTCTCGTTTCATCCTCTGCTTGACCCTACGAGAGCGACCAGAAGGGTTCTTCTCGGAAAACGTGGAGAGGGAAAAAAAATTTCCTGTACGATGCACACGCAAAAAGATATATTCACTTTAATGATAGTCGATTGAACTAAATGTAATTTTGTCTTTTTCAATTAATTATCAAATGCGTGAATACATTAATGAAGTTAAAAAAAGAATTCTGCCGAACGTTTCGAGTCGTAGTTTGTGTTTAAAAACAATTTTTCCAGGTAGTTGTCGCTATCTAATCTCCATTCTAGACCCTCTAATTATCGGTGATGCGTCCTTTTACCGGTCATTTCCATTTCAACTGGATTTTTGAAGTAATTTGAAAACTAAAAAGGGGGAAAAACAAAAAAAAAATTAAATTGTTTCTTGGCTTTTCCTGGAAATAAAAGTTCGAGTCAATGTACTTTTGTATGTTTTAGTTATTATTAATGAAAGCGTTAATATCGTGACATTGCGTAGTTTGTCGCTGGAAATTTGTTGACAGTGCAGCTTCTCTGATCTCATTTGTAACATCTGCACTCGAACTTTCGGCTTAAAAAGTATTTTATAGCCAATTTTTTACCATAACCGGTACCAGTGCCTGTAAGCGTGTAACCCCGCATGACTCATATCGTAAGCAGTGAAACGAACTTTAAGGATTTTTATGTCATTTTTTGAACTTTTAACTTAAAGAAAAATATTAATTTAAAACTCGAATATTGTAAATAATCGAAAATTTTCGTGTCTTACAAGATTTTAAAACAGTTTTTCTACGCGATAACTTAGTTTTATTACGCTGAAATAAGTAAGCGATCCGAGAAGATGCGAAAACTATTATCCTCTTCGGATTATCACATTAGAAAAAATTAGTGGACGGGATCTTAAGAAATTTAAGCAGAATTCTAAATATAATGTTGACCAAAAAAAAAGAGCAAAAATTGATTTTGATCGCAGCATGAAACATAGAAGCACGATCAAAACATTAAAATCCTATTCGTCTATTATAAGATAATTAAGAATGTGCAGCTTAATAGATCTTCATTTATCCATTTTATTTTTTAACAAGTTATATTCTCACGCTTATGTCACGATACACATCACGTCTTTGTAAACGTCCGGTTCTACTTTAACTTGATTTTAGTCACGACCAGACATTCCATCAGTAGAATTGCGACCTTAGACGAGTTAATTCCCCGAACGGGTGCAGAAAGACTATTTCACAGTAGCTTATATTATGCACATATATTCGACTTCCGCCAGACTGTCAATGACACACCTAGTAAAAATCTTATCCGGGGTCACACGAAAATACGTCAAACTTTACGTCCTTTTATTGTCCTTGTTCGATCATTCATAACGCCTCGTTATTGTTTTATTGAAACTCGTATCGATGAACCTCTATGAACTGTCGCATACTTGTTTGCATAAAATGCGTGCGGTATTCACTTTTTATTCGTTTCCTGCCGGATCTTAAAAGATAAAAAATAAATAAATGTACCAGACTCGAGACTCGTAACAATGCACAGTTCGATTCTAAAGAGATCCTTTCGTGTAAAAGTAAAGATTTGATTGATACTGTTATTTTCTTGTGAGATCGCTTTACTTCAATGGTATGATATTGGAGAATTGGGAAGCTATTTAGTGCGTGATGCTATTATTTTAAGAAATTTAGGAGTAGACGATCGTCTTAACTTTCGCATTAAGTGAGTGAGTTCGATTAAAATCGCGAATTTTACTAGTTTTTTTCGAGCGTATGACAGTAGCGATTAGAGATGCTTTTTGGTGTTCTCAATTCTCTTCCGACTTTATCTTCTTTTTTCGCATCTTCGATTGGCTTTATCATTGTGAAATCGAAAGAAAAGGTTTCAAAAATTAGTATCCCTCTCGGTTTACTTTTAGATAGGAGTCGTTGATTGCTAGGAAATCCCATAAGAACTATCATTCTATTGGTAGTTAACAGCAGCAATCGTCGAAGGCGAGCGACTTGGCGTGCTTTAAATGTCGAGATAATCTGCATATTTAACACTATAATAGGAAGTCGAAGCGAGAAAAAATACATAAATATATGTATGTGTATATATTTAGGAAGAGAGAAAAGAAGCGACAAGTTCCGGAATGCGAGAATCTCTAATGACATCCGGGTTACAAAGAGCGGAACAAATTCCGTAGAGCTGTTCCCAGACGAGCAATTTAATTGATGACAAAACTCGGTTGCTTTCATTTCGGACGTTTCCACCGACCGAATTGATCCTTCGACCCCCTCTCGTATAACAGATGCAGAAATCTTCGATGGGGAAAAAAATAATAACTATCGGTAGAATATTCTTTAAGCGATAGTTTGGTGGAATTCGTCATCAGCACGGTTCCTTAAATGGAAAAGTTTCGGAGTTTTCACGTTATGACACCTGCTGTTGATGATGGTGATAATTAGACAGTTGGCGAGTCGAGATCAAGAGGCCGTTGACATTGTCTGGTATGTGGATGTAGGCGTTGTGGCATCGATTCCATTAGAAGTACCACTTTTTGGAAGTCTCTCGCACTTAATGGTCATCGAGAAATTTCGTTCGGTGTGCACAAATCTTTGTAATGATTAAGAGGATAATAAAGGATGTTGGCTTTAGCCATGTGTTTACTTTCTAGTGATCAAAGTTTCGAAAGAAATGGGATAATTTATAAAGATAATAAAAGATTACTAACCTTAAACGAAGTCTTAAGGAGTTTTCTCGCTCCTGGCTCGCTTAATCCATCACTCGAAAATTTTCACACCATCTAAGTAGAAGCGGGGAGAATTTATCTCAAATCCATGTGCATTCTTTCCACCCTCGCCGCCCACCTTATGACCTTTACCACCAACCTGGTGGCTTTTGTGACTCGTCCCCACCAACCTCGTCGCTTTTGTGACAACGACATGAAGTCGATAGTGAAAAGGGATCCAGCTTGCACGTGACCATCTCTTCACGTGAGGGAATTCCATCCACTTGTTAGAAACGTTCACCCACTCACTTCGGAGGTTGGGGTGTATCACTTCTAGGTCCTATCGATTAAATTTCGAATTTTCCTCGTCAAAAAGATGAAAGCATTTTAATTATAAAATTTTTAAAGTCTGATATTCAATAAGTTTATTAAATCAACAGAAAGATATGCTGTATTTCGGACCATTTCACAGCCGGATTATAACGAAAAAGGGTCATGTTTTTTTTTGTACACGTAAACAAGTTTGATCCGAAAATATTCGTTAGAATTACCAAGAAACGAGTAGGATGTTTATTTTAGTCACCTGCGCTTTATAAATCCTATCCGATAACTTCTTATCCACATTTTAACTCCCTTAATCACTTAGTGGCATGTTTGAATCACACAAACTCGTCGGAAGTGTTTAAACAATGAAAGAGTTCGTACTACCATTCTAGGAAGAATGATTAAAGGAATCGATGATGTTTATTGCTAAACGTGACGATCATTTCCGCAAAGATTTACGTCAAACTCCTCCACTTCTTCCACTGTAGCGTGTGGGTCGAAGTATCTACCCACATCATTTATCCTTTCGTTCAAATCTCTTGTTTACCAAAAAGACCAGCGAAAGGCCACCACTACTTACAAGGAAACATGGCAAATCTATAGGGAGAGTCGCTGATAATGTATCGAACACATCCCGTACATTTGGACTGGTAAATAGGCGGTTATTCACATCCTGTACGGTAATGACGTCACCGGAGTTTATTGGAATGAGATATTTTGCGAAGCTCGACTCTCCCTAATTTGCCGTCTTTTTTTTTTTTGTCGACGAATCGTAGTCTTTGTTCGAAATTTTCGTGTCTTTAATTTAATCAAATTTCAATAATTTTCGTTGGAATATTTAATTTTATTTAACCTTTTGTAAGTCGCATCTCCGCAGTAACGTCGTGTTATCGATATTAAACGATTGTCCTTTTTTTTAAAAAAAAAAATCTTTATTATGTTTGCACTGTTAAAAAAACAGTGCGAGGAACGTTAAATTCCATTTTAAAATGTTGGACAAATTAATTTTCATAAACGCTTAAAGGTGCGCACGGACCATCTTACGCTGATTTTTCCCAATAAAAATGGAGCCTTGACGTATTAAAAATCATCCCATTTGATAGGAAAATTGTATCAGATATTGCTTAAGATTTCTGATACGCGATACCATAGCATAAATCGATATTAGAATCCAAATTTTTGGTCATCATCCTTAAAATATACCGCAATTAACCTCACGAAATTTACAGGGGAAGAGGTAACAAATTTAAATGTTTATTTTTGACACCGTACAGTTAATTTATATCAAAAGTAAAATGTATTTATATATAATATAATATATAATTCGTCACCAGGGATGAGGAGTCGATCCGCAGCGATACTGCATCACCCCTACGAGTGCTATATCCCGCATCTATAAGTGTATGGGTATTAGATACGACGCCAATACTGTATATATATATTTAAAAGTAAAAAAAAATAAAATAAAAACTTCGGTAATTAGTTTTTATACATTTATATCAGTAGGTTTGATGACAGACGGTTTGCAATTTGGTAAGGTACGAAGCGGAGTGCGAATGTACAAATTGATTTTTTCTAGGGTGGCGTCTAATACGTACTTCGCCCTAGTTGAACGTCTGGACGGTAGATGGCGCTGGTAGGGGGGAAATCGGCGCCACACTGCCAGTCTGCAGCAGACATTCCTGCTGTCTAGGCGAGGGTAAATTTTCTGATGCGTCATCACTCGCCGCCGACACCGTTCGGGTTGTGTACACCGACTACGCAGTTACGACCCCCGACTCCGTTCGGGTTGTTGCTAGTGTACAGAACGTGCGTACATTCGTATATCTACGGGCGGAAGTCGAGCTGCTGTTATTTTTTTCCTTTTTTTTTAAAAATATCTTCTACTCTTTAAGAGCCGGAGGGATGATTTGTGTGACGTCTTCTCTGTAAGATACAGTTGCGTCTACCTGTTCATTCAGCCGTCGATGTTTTGCAGGACCACCCGGCGTTAGTTGCGCAATCTTCCACGGGGAAAAATCGCCAATATTCCATGTTTTGTCGCCGCTTCTCTACAGACGTCAAAGAAAGATTCGCTCTTTCGTCGATGGCACAACGGGAATGGTAGGGGGTCCGAGATGGCTCCCTTCTCATTGGTCCGAACACGCTGACCACGCTTTGCCGACAGCCAATAGAAAGCGTAGAAGTTACGTCCGGTCGCAGTTTTTCCCAGAAGTTAAACGTTAGTAAAGAAATAATACAATTTGACTGAATGAAGTCGTCGAGTAGGGAGTTGTATCGTCATTCCTTCTCCTGTTAACTGGATGGTTTGTACCCCACTCTTAACAAGGTAAGCCCATTTCTCTTATGTTACTTCACTTTGAAAATTTTTAACTTGTATACAGTGTTTTTCGTGTGTTTGTTTTGTGTGTGTGTGTGAGAGAGAGTATAACACCATTCATACCCAGGCTGCCTTTATCTACTTTGTAAAGAAAGATACTTCGTATGTCCCCCTTTCTACTTGTCGAAAGTGTGTTAAGTGCGAAACTGAAAGCAGCGGTTCGGCCGTTTCGGATACTCGACATACCGAATGTGTTACAGCTTTCTCGTGTTAGATAAGATAATATTTCACTAATTTCCACATACAACGACGTACTTAACGGATTCGAATCGAGTTTTTTATTTAATTTTTTTTGAAGTTTTACACCGTACTGTCCTCTGTGTACGGCTGCCATTTTCGAAACCGTTCCAAAGAAGAAACCGAAAGTATTTTCTCCCCCTTTTTTTAATTGTTTTCTCATTTACTTTTCCTTTATATCGATCGTACTTTCGATTTTGAACTGTGTAATACGTATTACGTTCATTGTATAAGTTAGAAAACTCGCGACGGAAATAGCGGATTCCATTTGATAAGCGCATTCCTATCTTCTACCCCTCTCCTTTTTGACGTGTTTTGATGAACTTTTGACCGCGCCAATGACGTCAAGTTTAAATAATATTTACCATTGACGTATATCGGTCCATACCAACTATTGAAACAGGTAGAAACGTTATAGTTATGCTGCGTAGTAAACACAACGTATACGATTCATTTTATGTTAATGAAGTTATTTAACATAACTTTTAAAGGTGTCTTCTCAGGTAATATAATTGGTTTATTATTATTATTATTATTATTCTCTTGTTAGATCTTTCTTACTTAATTCCGGATTTTAAAGGTTATTAGTGGGAGGTCGACAGACCTTGAAGAATTTTAAATTTTTTACCACCACCTACGCTCGTTTTGAAATCCACTTTTGGTAAATAGGTCTAGTATTATTCTAGAGTAAAATTCAGCTCGCCTAAACCTCTGTTATTGCCTCTTCTTACCGCCCCATTACGTTTGTTTCCATTGTACGGACCGAGACGGTACTAAGATCGAAAATTTCAGAAATTTCGGTACAAAATATTGCTTTCTAATTTTAGAAACATTCAGTTAGTATTAGAAGGACAGTTTCTAATTTTAGTAACCTGGTATTGGTGAAGATCCACCATTTTAGTCGAAGAATCTTCGTGACGTCGATAGAACCTGGCTTATTTTATTCTACCGAAGCTACCTACAATCCAAATTTTTAAAGTCGTCTTTTAACCGTAGAGAACGGAGTTTTTATTGTTAAAAATTTACTTTAAAAAAAAATATATTATAGAATATTCATCGCGGTAAGATTATTGCTGTATAGTTATCGTGTAACGAGACATTATTTATTATTTTCTAAAGCCATATATACTAATAATATAGGTACAGTACGTGAGTGCATGTGTATGTGTGTGAGAGACACTTTCGGTGTTTTTAGAAAGGAAACATAATAGGATGTTTCTCATTGAAGTTGGCTTCCTTACTTGTAGGAAACCTAATACAGCTTCTACCGTCTTACGTCGAAGTCGGAGGTATTCCCCCTGTTCCGTAGAGACGCGATGCAGACAGTTAATGTGACGTCACGAATCGATACACCATCCGGGTCACCGGCGCGAGGTGGAAGACTCCAAGTTTCCGTTATTGCAGGAACAATCCGTCGCCGTCGGAAGATTTTTGTATGGATACAGTAGCAGAGGCAAAGGAAAAAGAGGATTATCGGTCGGAAGACGTTGGCGTTGAATACCTGGAATGTGCTTCTGACTCACTTCGTTACATCCTCCTCCACCCACCATTGGGGAATGCCCGAAGTTCTCACGTGCTGCATCAGGTGCTTGTGACTGGGCTGTCGAAGTCAGGTACCTGAAGTAGTGCGCGGAGAAATTCGGGTCTGTGACCACCTTTCCTTCTCCGAATTCCGCTTCGTCGGGGTGAGTATTAACTAGATTTTTTCCACGTTACGATGCGAAATTCGATACTTATTTTTATGCAATTACTAAATTAATTGATTTAATATTCTTAGTACTTTTATTATCTTTGATTTTTATATAAGTCTCTTAAGCTTTGATTTCTCTTTATTTAAATCCCCCCTCTTTTGGTGAAATATTACCGTAGAGATTTTTTTAGCGAATCCCCTTCCTTAAAAACTCGATCGAATGATCAAAATTCTGTTAAATGAATATAGTTTAATCGCCTGTTAATAGTGGTTATTTAAGGGAGACGACCGTTTAAGAGAAGAATAAGAAGGGGGAAAAAAAACAGCGAGTGGTGCGGATTATATTCGCATCATCCCCGTTATTCGGTTACACAGGCGGCCGCCGATATACACAAACAGAAAGTCTGACGGGACATAAATAAACGTTTGAGGTGTGGCATTGCCTGTCTGGGTCTCACAACCCGAGTCTAACCTGAATACTGTACTTGTACCGTCCTCTGACTCATACACCCCGACACACGTCATTTGCGAGTGCCCACGCGTTTGTTGCGTGTTTCCGGGACACTTTGGGTTGCGTGTCGACTCGCGACGCCAGCCAGTCACCATCGGGACAGAAGCGATTCGTGTCTTTGTGCTTGTTCTTCTTAACCAGGTGTTCCGTTTTGAGGGATGTGCGGCGGTGAGTCTTTTATCTGCCTGTCTGGCAGAAATCTTAGAGTAATCGCGGATTATAGAACTAATATAACCTTCTCGAGGTTTCCCCCTTTCCAGTGCGATTCATTCTTCTCTTTCGAGGGGGGTAACGACACGATGTTGTCCCAATTTTCCGGCGTCGGATGTTGCAATTGTTCGAAGTGTTGCGCACGTCAGAGAAGACGTGAACCCGGCGAATAATGAGGCAATTTAAAAACTATAAATCATGACAAGTAATAAATATTCATTCATAATTTTTGCTAATTACTTTTTATGGGAGTGCTCGGTGGTTTGACCCTTTTTTTATTATTATTCTTTTGGAGGAATCGTGGTCGTATCTTCTTTTTGGTTGTTGGAAATCCGGCTTTTGTGTCGAATTTTGGAGATTCGAGTGGATAAAATCGATTAAAATCCTTCGCAGATTTGTCAAAATGGATACGTCGACTCGTTAAACCATAACTAGGGATTTTGGGGTTTTCGGGGTGTGTTTTATTGCCGGTTCCTTCTGTTAGCCATCTCCAAGCGAAATTAATGCGATGATAGTGCCGGGTTGAAGAATTTAGTACTCTGAATGTTCACGAAGGTGATATGTCTGTTAACCGGAAATCCGGATGTCGGGCATTATCTACTTTTAGACAATAGATCACAGTTTCTTATAAGAAATTGCTCAGAGCTATTCTGGAATTGTGGCCTATATAGCGAGTCAGATCCTGTCTTGTGTACTGTACACTGTCCAGACCAGACATTCCCAACAGTCTAGCTGCAGTTCTATTACTGCGGTGTCATTGACCGCTCGTGTGTCGGGTTACCGTACTCGCACCGAATATCTGGAGTTGTTGCTGCGGCAGTAACGTCTTACAATGTCTGAATGACAGTGCGTCGGGATTTAGCACGCTAAAACGTCCGTAAAAAGCGCAGAGTCGGTACGAGACAATTTAAAACCCCCGTATAAAATGTGTATTTATAAAACTCTCGTTGTATCTATTGTGCCTGACCTACTAGCAAAGTGGCAGCTCAAAATCCCCTCTTTTTTTCCTTTTTCTTTTTTACTTTTTTTTTTCTTTTTACCCGCATTTATCCGCACGTAGGGGGAAAAACAGGTGTTCTCGAGTACAGAAATGCGCCGGTTCCTCTCTAACCTTTTTCAAGGTCACCGACCAGTCTGTTATGATTGGTTTTAAATAGGCACGTGCTAAAGCCGGATGTCGGAGGGTACCACTTCCGGTCGGTTGCCCCATTAAAGGCAGCTGCGTTGGGATGACGTCAACCAACACGTGCGAACTCGTGTTAGAACAATTTGGAGGAAGGGGAGGAGGGGAATAAAGAATCGGGAAAAAAAAACGGGGACGTCTCCGAAGGCTATAACCAAATCTTCACCCGATTGCACACAACAGGTGTTCGCGTGGCACTGCCAATTTCTTCTCCTCCTCTCCGAAAGAGGGGTGTAAATTATCCGGCAGAATACCCCCACAGGTTAGGTTGCGTCTGTGGCTTTCACTTCTTCCGATAAATATACCTGTTTGATTGCCTCCCCCGTCTGTCTGGGAAGTTTCCTCCTCTCGATCCTACCTGTCTGTCCCAACGATGAATGGAGAGATTAGATAGCTTTTTATAACTCTAATAACTTATTCTATTTATAGCTCATCATTTCTAGAGCGGTAGAGGCGCCGTTCCACGCTTTAATTCTCCTCCCCCCTTTGATAGGGAGATTCGTGGGTTTCGGCACGTCACAGAGACGAAACTACATAATGGCCCGTCTGATTGTCTGTGCGGTTCGGTATGATTGTCACCTTCGCCCGCCACCAGTTCTTTGTACTTCATTAGGTGCTCTGGTGTGTGGGATCCAGGCATCTCATGGAGTGCAAATGATAGGTGGTTGATTTACAACGTTGGATTATCGATCAAATTTGCATCTTACTCGTTAGTACCGACCGCATTACCCGCTGTCTAATGCATGATACAATAGTGTAGAAGTAGATCTCGGTCGGATGCAAAAAGACGTTGAGTGCCCTTAATAATAGGGAATTTCCAACGCGTTATTAGTTAAATATATATATATTTATATATTGTACTTCATTTTCTCTTTACGCCAGTAAGTAAAATTTATTTTTAAGGTTACATTTTTTTTCGCCTATTAAGTGAGGTTTTTCGTAATCTTACTACAAAGCAGCTTATGTAAATCTAGCGTACTGCGTGTATATGTATGTGTATATATAATCATGTTTATAAAATACAAAATTAAATTTTCTTACCTAATAATGCGGTTTTTCTGAGCAATTTTTTATCGCGTTACTCTCGCTTGGTGGTACTCACGTGGTGACAGTTTTATACCCTTCAACTGATGGTTTTCTATCACGATGCTTGCCTCTGAGGCTCGTTTTGGTAGTTTTGTTCTTCGATATCGTCGTCAGTGGATTTGTACAATACCTGCACATAAACCGTACTAATTTAGGGGAGGGAAAAGATGCTTCTGTTAAGATTCTACACAGCCCAACGCTACTTTAAACTCTAATAAATTAAAAAGATAGTTAATGTCTTGCGATTACGATTGACTGTTTCGAATTGACTGAATCTAAAAATCCTCAAGATTGTCTTTCATTCACTCTGTGACGTCCTTGACTTCATCCCACGATACTAGAGAATATTAATTTAGTCTCCGTCTACGTAGAATTTTTAAACAAATCTTCGTGTGCCATTTAAACATTACGTGTTCGACTAATGATAAACGTAGACAAGTATAGACTCCTCTTTAGTCATAGCAGAAGGAATTCTTTTATTTTTATTTTTTTTTATAAGTTGTGTAAATCTACGTGCGACAAGGTCGTATTTAATCACGTGATCGAAATATCGATATTATAAAACTATTTTTGTACTAGATGGTGTCATAAGGTCACCGAATCTGTAATCCTCGAATATGTTATTGTATATATAATGTCATGGCTGATTTACATGTATTTTGGAAAGGGGAACACGACTAGTTCGTTGCCACATGGGTTTCAACATTCGCAGAAAGAGGTTGTGCAACGTTGAGTCATTCCTCGAAATTTTCTCATGAAAATAGTGATTGCTCGGAAAAAAAGTACACTTTTAACATCTTTTATGACCTTCTGTAGGAGGAATTGTAATTGTATAAATATATCTTTTGTTCGAGGTATTTTACCAAAAACAAAAAATTTAATTTAAAAAGAGAACCAAACTTTGAAAGATTTTTTTTTGAATATCTTTGTATTTAGAAGTGGCACAATTAATTTATTATATACAATGAGAAAGTCATACAATTCTCGAAAGGCTTCTAGGTTGTGCGGTTTTTATAACTGGATTTCACAAACTTGTTTACTTTTTTAGGTGAAGACTTATTATTAATTTCAAGCTAATTGCGTTAAGTAATAAAATATTGCAGGTGTTTTTACAAATAAATAAACTTTGCACACCCTGAGACTCCCTTGAACTATAAATGCCAAATTGACTAATGTTAGCTCTGGATGACTTAAATAATCGGAATGTTGTCATAAATTGTGTTTAAGCTCTCGACTTTTAACTGGAAACGAGTCATACGTCGATGTAGCACCTGATAAGAAGTTAAGAAACAAACCGCTTGTTTGACAATATAAATAGACAGTTTGAAGTAAAATGAGATTTAAAATGGTCTTTTTACTTATCTTTCGTGTATTATATTCGTGTTTTCTTGTGCTTTCAACATTTATATTTTCGAATTAAAAACCTTAAAATCTATTGTCTACGTTCATCCTTACACAAATTAACCTGTATCTAAAGTAGATTATAATATTAAATAATCTCTCTCGATTTCTCTCCGGGGTTGTACCTTTTCGGACTGGCCAAACCAGAAACGTTTTCTTTAATTGGTCTTCCAAAATAGTTTAAGTAAACGGCAGTTGATGATGTAAGGAATTCAATTTATGTGAGGTGTGAAATATCGTCCCACAAATTTTCGGAAGCGGGTGGCGATGTGGGTGCCGAAGAGAAGAATTCCTGCCAAATTCTTTAGCCTACCTACAAACTGTTCTTTCTCTACTTCGCCCACATAAATAATGCGGGCGATTTACATAACGAGTCATCGCTGGTATCATCCGAAGGTCGTACAGTAGGCTCCACTTAATACAATAAATTGCAACTCAATTTGTCATTCGCATGTTTGAGAATACGATCCTTGTCTCCTCCCCCACTTACTCGTTTTAAAGGCGGTACAGCATCATAAATATTAATGCGTGTTTAGTAATTAATAAACTGTTTATGAACGATTTTAAAGTTTCCTTTAACGCAATCACTATTGCTCAGTTTGTTTTTAATGTTGGTGAACTCTGTTTACATGGAATCGGAGTAATTTTACCGGAAAAAAATTCCATAAATTTACTTTCTTTTTAAGATATGTACCGCTTTTCTTGAAGACTTTTTGTTTCTCTGAGTCTTCGGTGAAGTTTTCAATTTTTAAAAGAACAGTGCCAACTAGCTTTCTTTTAATCACTTGGATGGAGCTTTAAAGATCCATTAACATTGAAGGGCACTCTACTACCGACAACTTTTGTAATGTTGGAAGTGAATCCCTGTTTACATCATCAAAGCAATGAAAAGATTTCTCTCTCTCTTGCAATAGATTTCTTAAAGTTAAACATGTTTTTAAAACTGGTACAAGCTGAAGATTTAGAATAGTAATTAAAATTGGGAAGAGATTTTTTTTTCTTCTCCGATAATTTTTGTCAGAATGGGAAGCCTTTTTAGAATTAGTGAAGAGCGAGAAGCTACGATCAGACCTAATTACAGTGGATAGGGCCATTTGCTTCTGGTTTTTTATTTACTCTGTCATTATTCCCTATGGCGACCGTCCGGAATGATTGAGAAAGTGAACAAATAAGGAACTCTGCCAGTCGTTTGCGCTCCTCCTCGCCAATCTGCCCCAGTAACTTCTTTCTCTAATACCTCAGATCGCCAACTGAAGATATTATTGCGACGGAAACAGAAAAACGTGAGACAGGAAAAGTGTTGAAGTGCAAAAGGTTTTTCCAAGCTTCGATTCATGAGTTCAAAAGACTATCTCTTAGTAGAGCTAACTAAGCAAGGATAGACAAGAAAATTACACGTTTTGGGTCCTACTGTCGTGTAGACCTTGAACACAACAGGAAGTTCCGGTTTTTCTGTCAGACTTTTGGATATCCGGTTGTTTGATTTGATATGTTGCATCGTATTGGACACCCGTACCCCGCGCAATAGGGGATCGCGAAAAAGGTCAAGATCCTCCTTGTCTACCTCGCTTGAGCTTATTCCAGTCACCTACTGAGATGCCATAAAAATACTTAAATCCTTTCGCTCGACCTCACTAACTGCGTAGCTTTATTAGTCCTTGCTTTATCCTTGAGGATGCGTCAAAACAAGCTACATATTCGCGGATATTCAAAACTACAAACACGTTCTCCGAAAACGCCAACTTTTCTAATTTAGGAATTTCTAATTAGTTTAGACTCTAAACAGCGTTGTGTTTGGTTCCTAGAACCCCGTGAATTCGGGCAACGAGCGCTTTTAATGCCGTTTAATCGTAAAATGGCATTTTACACCGAACATTATTCTCCTCTTAAGACGTCTTACCATTTAAATTGGCAACTACACTATCCAACCTCGTTATAACGACTCGTGATTAGAAAATGCGTTAAAAGAAAAATCTTTTCTAACCCTACCAGATATATGCAAAATTACATTCAAACTTAGAAACACTACTTTCCCTATTTCCATGCATTTTTCATAGGCAAAAATTTTATATAAGTTATGTAAAAATTCATAATGCAGTATGCAAAACGGTAACAGAGAGTTGGTTTATATTAACTACACCCCCTATTTAATGTTTTTTGTGCGGGATTTGCATGCGAATAAATTCGTGCGTGGCATTAATTTGCTTGATACGTCTCATACCAATAGAAATTTTGGAAAGAAAGAAAGAGACACAAATTTTCTTTGTATGACGATAATGTACTCATCTCTTTGCCATCTGGAAAGTTTCCAGTTTCCATCGGAATCTCTCCATTCACTTGTAAAAGTAAAGGACGATGCCACCTTGTTATCGATCTTTTGCCATTCCACCCAAGAATTTAATTTACACATTTTGAATAAATATACGTTTACGCTTCCATTTATCAGTGTAAATATCTGTTGAATAGCAATTCTGCAACTTTAGTCTCTTGTATAATAATTATCCTTTAATATGTTTAAAATTTATTCCGTTCAATTTAACTTATAAAAATTTCTCTCCGTTGTTGTTATATTAGCGTGGCTCCTACATTGGTACTAATACAGTAATAAAGAACAGAAATTTGTTTTATTTTCTAATATTTTTCGTTTAATTAATATAAAAACAAGAAAGTTTTTACGTTCAAATGAGATCAAACTTTAATTTATAAGAATTTACTTAATAAAAAGAGTAATTAACCAATAGAAACATCGCAGTTCATTATTAGCTCCGCCCGAATTAATAAATAATCCAATTAAGTATATACATATAATTAATCCCCACCCATTTCTTGCTTCGGTTCCTTTGATGATTATTTATAATTAAAAAATATATATGTTTATATATACGTGTAGGCTATATTGTGTGGAGTTTTTTATAGGAAAAAATGTTATTTATTAGTTAATAAAGAAGTGTTAAAAGTTTTATCGACATAAATAACATTTTACGATAATTACGTTGTTTGCGCTTTGAACAATGAGAATTTATACGAGAAATGGCTTATTTAAAAAGAAAAAAATTAAATTTCTTAATTAGTTAGAAAAAGTAATAATAATGTTTATTATTTCTTTATAAACTTAAGTTAATTAATTTTCATATTTTTGTATAAATTTTTTAGTAAATTTGGAAAATACTTTTTAAAAAAAAATCACCTTTAAAAAAAGAAGGCGGAGTTTATATTAAGTTATATTTGAATAGACCAATAAAATGCGTTATTGATGTATTCGAAAAGTACGAACCAATAAATGTTTAGAATAATAAACAAATGAAAAAATTGTTCTAAATTTGTATTGGTTAATACTTTTTTAATTTCTTAAAATTAAAAAAGTATTAACCATCTGATGCCGATATACACAAACAGAAAGT